CTTAAGAAGTTGAATTGGGACAACACATTTTCACAGAACAAAGAAAAAAAGAATGGACTTCCAGTATAAAAGATTCCACATCAGAAAAACAACAAAAGAGTACTTGGGCATAAAAAGAAGAAAACAAGTAATTGACTAAAAAAAATAGGTGCTTTAAAGGCATTAAGTCATAAAGACGCAAATGCAAAGTTTCTGTTGCATTTGCTCAAGTCTGTCTTTGTAGAAAGTGCTGTTACAATGGGTGCTCTCACTGAACAGGGAAATTTACAGTGGCATCTCTAAGTGCAGAAGGCTGCAAGGACAAGCTTATGCCAGCAGTTGTAACCAAATGCTCTTCTGAGGAGCTGAGCTGCCATTTAACATATTTTTTTAGTTTTTCATCTGAGGAGATTCATTTGACACTACCACACCAACAGGGTGAAAGAAAAAAAGCACATATTCTCTGCTAGAGACACTGATCTAGCAAAAACAGCTTTTTAAATCAGATGAGAGCTACAGTGAAGGTGAGAAACCTGGAAAGATGTCCAAGAATGGCACTACAGTCTTGCCATTAGTGGGGTCCCATGCAGCTTCACATTTCATAGTATGACTGGAAAATGCATCACAAACAGACTCTCTCTCTTGCATTCATATTTTCTAAAATCTTTTCGCCCAGGATTTTTCTTCTGGGAAGCTGAGAAGCCTCAGAGAATAGTGAATACAATTCTTATCTCACTTGCATCTCCTGTGTTGTGGTCGCATGTGGAATGTGTTTGGAGATTGTTTACCCACAGGTGATTGTTTCATTGGATTCTGGTGTGAGTTGTTTTGTCTCATTGGCCAATCAGTGCCAAGCTGTGTCGGGACTCTGGAAAGAGTCACAAGTTTTCATTATTATCTTTTTAGCATTCTGGAAGTATCCTTTCTGTATTCTTTACTATAGTTTAGTATAGTATTCTTTAATATAATATAGTATCATAAAATAATAAATTAGCCTTCTGAGAACATGGAGTCAGATTCATCATTCCTTCCAACATCAGGTCACCTGGCAAATACAATATCTCCCCTCATTCCCATCAGACTTGCATCAACCCCATAAAATAGCAGCACAGCAGTACCACAACAGAGAATTTGGTGAAATGTCTTGTGAAACACAGTTTGTGATGTGGAGATAACTAGACCCAAGCAACATCCTCAGGTTCCAAGGAGCTGTGAAGAAAACCTCAGCCTGTGGCACCTGTTTGTTTACCCCAGGGAGAATCTGCTGTGCAAAGTACTTGAAGCTCAGTCAGACACCAGACACTGAGGTGGTTTTTGCTCACAGATATTGCAAACCTAAGGAAGTCTGTGAAAAACATTGCCAGCTTTGTGTGTATTACCAAAACCAGGCTGAAAAGTGCAGCACAAATCACTGGGACGTCTTCACCCATTTTCTTGCTGTCCTGGCACAAAAAAATAGTGACATATGGGTGCCAGCAATTAGAACCTTGTCTGTACTTCACTCAAAGCAGAAAGGCTACCCTAAGCCACAGTTACATTTCACAGAAGACATCCTGCCTGCTAACACTGAGAAAAAAAACGAAAGTAAATTTAAAATTCAAAGTTCTCATGAAGCTCACTGCAACACAGAATCCATCTTGAGCAAATCTTGCTCTGTCACAGCCAATTGTGGTCAATAAAAAAGCAAGCAGAAATTTAAGTGGCTAATCTTTTTCTTTCTCTTTAGATTAACTGGAATTGCATTTTCCTGAAAAGATGCAGATTTCATGCTCTGACCCTTGATTTTGAAAGGCAAGAGCTGACAGTCCAATTGAAAACTCATGCTGATGGCAGAATTATGCCCATTCTATTCCTCCTGCAATTAAGTGGACAAAAATCTCTGGTGTGTATGGTGTACAGGGAGGGAAAAGTGAGAGGGGAAGTAGCTCAGGTTTAATATTTTGTGCTTCACATTCATATATTCACGGCATAAGACAGAATTTGCAAGTGTCTACCCAACAGATTTATATTTTAATACCACGCCCAAATTTAAACCTGAGATCCAAACAACTGAAAATAAGTCAGGCATTTGTAGTGCAAACTAAATTGCCTCACAGCAAAAGCTCTAAAATATGTACAAGTTTATGAAGCCTGTCAGGGAAAAAAATCAGCCAATGGGGAAAAAAATTATGCATAGCAAGACATATGCACGTTACATAAGCAGGGAGTGCAATCAGAATGTTAGGGGTGGAAAAAAAGTAAAGCACCCAATTTCTGTGAAAAATCAGTGACATCTTAACAGAATTTAGTAACCAAATCAGTTCCATGATGTTCATGCCTTCCCTTCCAAAGCAGCTATCTGAAAATGAAAGTCATGCTGAGGTGAAATGCATTTCTCCACACTCTTAGGTAGGGAAAAAGTCACCCCTGAATCACCACAGTGATATTCCAGAATGCACACAATAAGTGACCATGGATTCCCACCATTCTGAAGTTCTGGTGGACAAGAATTATATCTGAGAGGTGCTGGCATTATGGCATAAAACTATTCTATTTATAGCAATTTGTACCATGAATACACTAGAAGGTGTCTTCAGTCATGTCATTAAGCTGCATCATTGGCTTATGAGTTCAGGGTAATGACTGAGGGAAATAAAAGGAACCTTTGAAGGCTGTCCTGAAATTATATCAGTAGATTTAATGCTCCCTTTCATTCAGTGAGACACTCTGGTAATTGTAGCTTTTAACTGTATTATTGCACAAAGTACCAGCCAGCAAGTACTTAGGATGATTTCCCAGGAAAAAGCCATTTTCAAACAGAGCTCCAGTTTAAAAACAAATATCACTGTCCAGCAGACTTTGGATGGTAAGACTGCCTAGTTTAAGAAGTTTCCACAGGTCACCCTCCCAGTTAGTTCTAATAGTTCTTCCCAGTTAGTTCTAATAGTTCCAAGTCAAGAACACCACATTTAAAATAGGAGGTATACTGATATTCTCTAATTTCTGTCAAAGCTTTAACGTGTTTTGCATTAAAATGCTGCCACAAAGTGACTTGGCTCAGTGCCCAAGGTAACATTCCTTACACTGCCTTGACTCACAGCCAAAAGGAGGCAGAGGAGCCATTTCCCTCAGACAACTTTGCTAATGAAAACTGTCAAAGTCCTTTCAACACCCCTGATTCTGTTGTGCTTGTCGTCTCAATTGTGTGCCTTGCTAGACTTCTCTTCTCAGCAATGTATTCCTTAGCAATATGCTCACACCTTAACAATAACACTAAAATCTTTTCCTTTCATGGAAAAGAGCACTCTGAATACAAGAGACCTCATCTTTGGTTTTGAGAAAAAAAATTAAAAATTACAATTATAATTTAAAAATTACAACCAAAAATCCTCAAACCAAAACTCCTCGCATTCACCATTGAGACAATAATGAAAATCTGTTCTATCTCCCAGCTGGTTAAAAGTATCACCTCCCTCCCAGCCAGCAAATTCAGGCTGGGAAGGCTGTGGCAAGGGAGCTTGAGCTCTTGCAATCCTCTCTGCCCTGCTGCACACCTGTGTGGCTGAAAATGCCTCACTTGAGGTGGGAGCATTTTCTGAGAGCCCCACCACATGAATATTATAAAAATTGTTTGAATAAGAGCTGTTATCTGCAGTTTTTCCACAACAAGGAAGAATTTGGCCTTAGCCTGATGGCAAACATTTCTGAATCAGCTGAAAGAAATATCAGATGACATCTGTAGCCTCTGCTTCCCTGGAGGAATGAGATATGGTACAATTCAGGTGCACTGTGAGGAAGTCATCACTTCTCCTGACATCTGGATAAAAAGACAACTCTGTTTACCAGAGCAACCGAGTGCACCGTGCACACAAAGAGAGTTTGTCAGACTGTCTCGAGGAGAAAAAGCATTGCTGTGCTCATATTCAATCAAACTGGAGGCTTGAAAGCCACAGGAGGATGGTGGCTGGAGGCTGAGCATCTGTCTCACACATAATCTGAACCATGGAAAAAAGAAGAAAAAAAAAAGGGGAGAGGAAGAAAAGTGGAATAAAAACATCCTTTTGACTTGAAAACTCTATCAGAAGCAGAGACTGCTACAATCATTTCCTCCCAACCCATCCTGTCACTATCACCTACTCCCACTGTGCCTTTTTCCACACCTACAGAAAGAATCAAGCACAGCTACTCCATGCCACCCTTTGGTAGCCAAGCTTTCCAAAGCTCACATCTGCTCACAATGTGCAATAACGAGGGGGGTGAGAATGAATCCAAGACACAGCCACAGGGGCCCCCCCTCAACTCACCAGAGTTTCTTGTCAATTCTCTGCCAGTCTTCCTGACAGGGACCCTGGAAATGCCAGCTATGAGGACTATATTGATAAATGGAAAACATTTGGAGTTTTTAAAGAAACCAAGTGATTTCAGAGCTACCTACAAGACAGGTCATGGCTGCTGACAAGAATTTTAAAAAATATTTGGAAGGGAACACTTGAAAAAAACAAAAAAGTAGAACTCCCAGAACATGCTCAGATCATTATTGGATGAGATTCTGGATTACCTTTAATATAAGACACCCCAGCAAATAATAGAAATTAAGCGCAGTGATGAATAAATTTTCCTTCCTGTCATCCCACAGAATCTCACTGAAATGGGAATTGAGAACATTTCATATGCTTAAACCATTGAAAGAGACTAAGAATGATTTGGAATAAGTTAGAAAACATAAAATCTTGATTTTTTTTTTTCAATCCCATAAAAATTAATACAGAGCAGGAATAGATAACATTAAGAAGTCCCTCAAATTTTAGAAAGGTGCTGCATACATGACAAGATCATATCAAGTTAAGTGACACAGACTGCCCAGTGAGGTGTAAATTGCCCTTCAGCCCTTACCACCCACAGAGTTAAACACTTTCTCCATGAAAATAAAGTCAGCATTGCAAGAAATCTTATTTTGCCACAAGTGACTAAAGGAAAGCAAGATGATATAACCAAGGCAATCATTTGCATATTACAGTGCTGCTCCACCTCAACCTACTCACCACATTTCATCATTTCCCTTCCAAATCCACAGTCTAGAAAAGCCAAAAGAAATAGCATCACTATTTCTGTTCTTAGTGAAAAAAAAAAATAAACAAAACATGAAAAGTGTAAAAAAAAATCATAATATGGATCAATTTTCCACTATATTTCCTAGGGTGTCAGGGTGCACTCACTTTTCCTATTAATTTATGCTTTTCTGTTTCTCTCCTCAGTTACATCCTAACACTTTGTTAGGTGCAATTTATCAATCTAAAAAGTGGAATTTGCACAGCTGCAAGTCTTGGATGCCACAGAGGGGTCAGAAGAAAGTAAAAGCTCTCCAAGCAACGCAGAGCTGAAAGAGAAAAGGAATTTGTGAGTGGTCCATTTACTGCTTTTGTGATCTTTTCGAACTCAAAGGAAAGTGAGAGAATCAAAGGCTGCAATTTCCTCTCCCTGCTTTTCATTTTATGGATTCCTTTACTTGTCACCCTCTGTCTGAAGAAAGACAACCTCCCACCATCCAAAAAAAACCAAAAAATTCCAAAAACATGTGCTCAAACATTTAAGCCTTTTTCTATCAAGATCGTAACAAAACTACTTTTGCTGTATTCTGATGGCAAGGTATTTGAAAATTAAGAGAATAGGGTACTGCTCTTCTTACCAAGTTGGTTATCAACATTCAGCCCTTTTCCAGCCCAATCCTACGTAACCAGTAGAATTTACCAACATTTAAAATTGTTATTTAAATTATTTGTAGTACACAAATTTATGGTACCAAGTGTCAGCATATTTAGTTTTCGAGATATCACACATACAAACAGATCTCTTGGAATCTTTCTGACAATATTATTATAATCATTCTTAAACAATAAGGCCAAGTCACATCTCCCTTCACCCCTTTGCTCTCAGCACCACGTAGAAAAACATACATCCCCTTGGTTCACTTTAAGGATATAATTTTTAATTCTATGAGCTAAACACTGAATTTGCACTTCAGAAGATCACAGAAAAACACCCAATCCATGGGTTTTTAATGCTCACCAGGCCACACAAAAATTCATCTTCCTTTCATGCCTTCACATGCACTCCTCACTTCCTTTTTTTATGTTTTCTGATAATTCTTCATTTAAAACAACTGCTTATAGACACCTTCACACTCAAACTTGGAGTTTTATCTGCAGCTTGCTTGAAGACAAGCTCAGATTCATCACAGAGATCAAATCCACCTGAGAATACAAAAAACTTCAGATAGCCATCACCTGGTTTGGCTTTTTTATTTATTTATTTTGGCAGTACGAGTCTATGTGTCAGCAATCTCAGTTAATTATCTTGTTCTCTCAGTTAATTATCTCTGTTAATTCTTGTTCAGCAGTTATCCTGATTGTCCCACATCCACCTCAGGCTAAAATGTCTGTGGAGAAGGAGTGAAGAGTTGATTGTGAACTGCAATAGCAGAAAAATTTGAATGAAGGGAGTAAATTCCTATTGCAAGCAAATTTTCCCCTTCCAGTGGTTTCTACTGCCCAGTGATGCCCAGTTTTATTACTTTTCCTAGGAAGGTTTTATTGGAGGATCTATCTTGGTGAGGGGGGTTAATGCTATAAAACTGGGGAAGTCAGCCCTCCATCATACACAGCTGATAAGAGTCGGTTTATAAGACCAGTTCCCCTTTCTATGTTTTCTTTAATGCTTAATGAATAGAAACATTTATAGGAAAATGCAGGATTTGGACTGTTCCATATCAGAATTTCCTATCGTAGAAAGACAAGGAGACTATTCCTATACATATATCTATATATATATTTAGGAATAAAGAAATATTGCTATTAGCCAAAAGAAAATTTAGATGCTTCTTCTAGTACTCAACTAGCTCATGGATAATAAGCAACTTGATCATGGGTAATAAGTAATTTTATATCTGAAAATTGAGGAAATTTAAGAACTGTTTGAAGCAAAATCATCTGAGTGACTCGGATCTCAAAAGATTTTGTGACTTTGACACCTGGGCACTAAAGTAACTTTTTTTAAATGAGTCTGAGTTAATACAAAAAAAAAAAAAATCTTTCTCTTATTCCTTTTAAAGGCATTTTTCTCTTTGAATTGCAACATTTCATGTACCATTATCTCAAGAAGCAGTAAATAACTTTTAGAAACCTTTTTATGCATGTTCTTTTTTTTTTTTTTCTTTTTTTTTTTTTTTTTTTTTTGTTTCCTAATTGCCACTTGAAACTTATGCATCAATTTTTGCTTGAACATCCCTGCAAAAGAATAGGATATAGTTTCCACTTTTCAGGACTACTGCAGCAAATAGAGGAAGCTGATCTATTACATCTAATGATTTGTCAAGTGGGAGCACAGTTAGCTGGGGGAAAAAAGGAAGCTTTTATTCTGCTCTGAATGTAAGACAGAACTGCTACCAGAATAAGCATGAGATTCTTTTCCTTTGATACTTCAGTAACAGTTAATTATCAAAACTTTAGAAATGTAAGCTGAATTGTTTAGGATAATTCCTTTCTGAGGGGTTTTGAGTGACTCCAGGAAACTTGCATTGTGGCTTGGGTTGTGTAACTGCTTTTGTTGGTGTGTCTTCAGAAAATAATAGGAACAGCTTCTAATAATGAATAGCAATTTGAAACACAAAAAATATTTTGCTTTTATGGGTGTCACTGAAACACCATACTGAAGAGCACGTAAAAAGGGACCATTTAATAATTAGTGTAAGTCATATAAATGATGTCCTCTTTCTTACAGAGATATACAGTGGCATAACCCATTTTTTGCTGTATGGTTGATGAATACAAACTCCTTAAATTGCCTTTTCTAAGTCTATGTTCAAAACTGCCAAGTGCTTAACAAAGGGGAGAGCAAAGGCAGTTTTGGACTCCACAAACCTTCCCCAAATGCTGTTCTATGCAACTTCTATTGATTTCTAAAGGCATCATTAAGCTGGGCTGAGGACTTGAGCTGATCCACAGATGGCTCTGTGCTCCCTCTGTGCTCCAGGACAGCTGCAAATTGTGTGGCTTCTGCCTGCCACTCATGGGGATTTGAAAGCTGAATGGGGAACCAGCAAACTGCCTATGAGCAGAGCAGAGCACAGCTCTGTCTTGATGTGCAGCTCTGGAGCAGAAGGGATGGAAGCATGGGAGCAGCTTCATCTCATGGAACAGGTTCTCTGGTGGTCATCTTCACCTGGTGCATCTCCTTGCCTGCTGTCAGTGAAGGTGGCACCCAGGGACATGACTCAGTGGATTCAGCGACCTTAAAATACTTCTCCAACCTAAATTTTTCTATGAGTCTGTGAAGTCATTCTCGCTTATGAAGCAAATTTGGCTGGAATTATGATAAAATCTATAAACTGTTCTGCATGCTGGAAATCTAAAATTCTACCTCTGTGGGCTTTTGCAGCAGTGAAGAGCAGCTTGGTTTCCTGTACTACAAAGGAAGTTTTGCCGCTCTTGCTCAGCTGAGTAAGAGTGGTGAGCACATCCCAAGTTCACATCCCAGACACCAAAGTACCACTGAATGAGAAAAGGAAAAAGAAAATAGATACTTCTTCTAGTAATCAACTAGCTCATGGGTAATAAGCAACTATACAAATAAAAAGGTGATCCTTGTCTATGGAGTATTTTAGTCTGTTGGAACAATGAGGTTGTTAATATATTGAATTTCATCTTTTTAGAGGTCAGATGAAGCACTTCATTCTCAGTCAGAAATTAAATCTGCATATGAAAACCAATGTGATGCTGTTTGTAGGTTCCTCCTGAGTCTGGTTTTTACAACAATTCTCAATCTTTGTTTCAGATAGTGACCTTATTTCAAGAAGGTTGGCAATGGGTAAGCACTCAGGAGCAAGCAGCTGCAGGTAAAACTTTCCTCCTTGCTTAAGATACTCTCTCAGTGCCTCTTCAGTTGTAGGCATCAATTGTAACAACTCTTAGGGAACAGTTCTATTTTAGTTTTCAAACCAAACTCATATGAACTATAAAAAAAAAATCCACTATTTGTTTTACCTCCCATTTAAAAAGTGGCAGAAGTTTCCCATAGAATGTGCCTGGGTAGAATGATGCTTGTTAATGCCAGGCTGCTCAGATAAAAACCAGCATATGAGACAAGCCTCTGATGTATGCTTAGACAGAGTTCCAGCTCAACATATACAGAATGTATATGCATTATTTCTTGAGAGGAAGAACATTTTGTGTTTTGAGAACTCCAGGCTGATACTGGAAGAGCACAAGCCAGCTCCTCTTCCAGATCTGTCTTTCAATGCATCACCCCAAAAAAAAAAAATCTGAATAGATCAAGTACATGACAGCAGCAATTGTGTGGAAAACAAAACAAAAGGGCTCAAATCCAGGCTGTCATCCCTATATCAAATTTTTCCATAAACTTCTTGGAGGACTTTTCAGAATGTCATGAAAATAGAGCAGTCCCAGGAAGGTGCCATTTGGTACTCCAGAGCATTCTCCTTCTATTTGCAAAGAAATATCACAGGAACAGCCTGTTCTCATAGTGGGATGGGAACTAACCCTCTCCATAACATTTTCAGTGCCAAGCAGCAAGCCCCCATCTGTCTGCCAGCAGGAGAGAGAGAAAACAAATGAGAAATGGAAAGGAGAAGCAACCAGAATTTGGGCATAGGAGAGAAACATCTGCTAAAGGGACAGGAAAAAAAAAGAAGTTCTGAGAGAATCAGACAAAGAATCATAAAGCAGGTAAAAGAACATAAGTGTGTTCCCAAAAAAGAGAAAGAGAGGGAGGAAAAAACAGGTGGTGACCATAAAAATAAAGGACATTTTTAGAAAGAAAGGAAGAGGAACATAAAGCCAGAAGTACTGTATGTATTTACCTGTGTTAATAACAAGATGAACAGAATTGCTGAATAACAGTGGGTGCTGATTGCTGCAATATCTGGGCTTAATCATTGGGTTTGGTCTTAGTTTGTTAGCTTTTGAAATCCATGCCATTGAAACAAAATAAAGATCATTCTATGAAAGTTATTTTTCATATTTGCATAGAAATTGTGAGGGGGAAAAAAAAATCAGCCACTTACTTTAAAAGTTCCTGAGTTTTTTGATTGTTCCAGTACAAACAGAGGAGCATTTCTGTGTGCCTGGATGAAAAATATGGGTAAAATTTATTTTAAAAACATATTTTTAAAAAATGAAGAGAATAAAATGGAATTAAGTACAAAATCCCTAATCTTCCCAGAGATACACACAAGTAGCTGCCACAGATGGAATAATGCAGCAAGATGATCCAGTAATAAAATTGCTGGGATTGACTGTTAGTCCTGAACACTTCAGATTTAGAAATTGGGCTTCTCAGAATTACCTTTAAAATACTCATACATGAAAAAAGTAAATAACATCTGATTTTTTTTGTTTGTTTTGTTTTGAGATAGCTACACTTTGGGCACCTAGATATCATTCTTTGGTGCATTTTCTCAATTTATTTTTTTTTAAGTGTAACCAATGTAAGGCTTTGTTTCTGTATCTAAATTTTATTTTAACTAAACCCAGAGCAAGACAGCACAATAATTCATTGTTACTTCATTCATGCCGCCATGAGAATGATTAAACAAATACTTTCCCAAGGCATTGCAAAGGATGCATGTTTCCATTGCTGACACCCAAATGCAACAGGTAACAGCCATGAATTGAGATTATCCTGCAGCAGATTCCTGTAGTACTTTTTACTCTGTGTATGTAATTTTCTGACTTTGTCAGCATTCGTGGGAAATGCTTATCTTAGCTACTACAACATTGTTGTTTTGTTTTTATATTTTACCAGAATTCTAAACTCTTAATGAAACTCTGAGGTTCAATGACAGCTCCCACTATTTTTTATCATTTTATCACAGCTGCTCATTATAATATTAAAAGTGCTCCCAATTTGTGGCCAGTCTTGAACAAGCAGAAATGTATCAAGTGTTTAGAAAAGGAGAAGGGGAAAAAAACAGACACAAATTTTCTTCTACACTTTGATCTTTCCTGTTCTGTTGTCTCATGCAAATTATTTTACCTCTTACCGATGCTTTCCTGGTGGTGTATCAGAGATAATTCACAGAAGAAAATATACCTGCCTCAAAATACAGCAGGAGCATTTCTAAAAAGATTTCTAGATATGTACAGCCTTTGATGTTTATTAGTCTCACTGCATACTTAAAATTCAAATCAAGGCATCAGAAAACCCTGGAGACA